TTCAGTATGTATCAAAAGTGAATGTTTGTTTTGGAAAAAAATTTTACTTTTGCTCGGATCGAGTTTTATATGACTAAAACCTTGGACCGCATGAAGGCAGTTCTGGGAAGATAGGCCAACCAAAAATTAGGTAAAAACTTTTTTTTGTTTAAATATTTTGTATAAATGTCATTGAGACTGTCAGCAACACAGTACAATTTTTTTTTCTAATTTTTTTCCAATTTTAAAAAAAAAGTATTTACATGTTGTATTTTCTAAAAAATAATTATTTTGTCCGATTTGCACAAATTTTCAACTTCAAATGAATACAGAAGCTTGCGCTAGCTCTAGTATGTATTCCAAACGCAACGAACTTAATTTTTGGACTTTCCTGAATTAGAAACAAGAAAGGAAGCTAACTTCGGCACGCCGAAGTTTGTATACCCTTGCAGATTGGTTTTCATATTTATATTATAAATTATAATGCCGAAAACAGACACTAAACGGAGTTTCATAACATTTTACCTATACTTATTATGTTTACAGTTTGACAGTTACAGTTTACATTCCCAGCTTTTCATTTTCTCTACATCTACGGATCACTTCTATGGCAGCTATATGATATAGTTCTCCGATTTTCATAATATCGTTACCAAAATTCTGAAATAATACTAAATGCTCATGTCTCAAAGTAGATGAAAATACGTTGAAAAACAACGAAGTTATAATTTTTTCTATCGTTTTCCCTATCGTTCCTATGGCAGCTATAAGATATAGTAGTCCGATTTTCATTAAATTTATACCAAAATTTTGAAATAATACCAGAAGCTCATGTTTCAAATTAGATGAAAATACGTTGAAAAACAACGAAGTTATAATTTTTTCTTTTACTTTCTCTATCGTTCCTATGGCAGCTATAAGATATAGTAGTCCGATTTTTATAAAATTTTTACCAAAATTCAGAAATAATATATAATGGCCAAATCTAAAAAATTGTGCAAAAATGTTGAAAATGAGCCAAGTTATAATTTTTTTCTAAAAATTTATCGAACATTTGTTTGGCAGCTATATGATATAGTCGTCCGATCCGGCCCGTTCCGACATATATAGCAGTGAGAGTATATAGAAGACTATATGTAAAGTTTCATTCAGATAGCTTTAAAACTGAGGGACTAGTTTGCGTAGAAACGGACAGACGGACGGACAGACGGACAGACGGACATGGCTAGATCGACTCGGCTGTTGATGCTGATCAAGAATATATATACTTTAGAGGGTCGGAAACGTCTCCTTCACTGCGTTGCAAACTTCTGACTGAAATTATAATACCCTGCAAGGGTATAAAAACAGAAAACCGTGTGAAAAGGAATGAAAATAATATAATAACGGTGTTTTTAATATTGCCCGTCTAGAGGCGGTCTTGGGCACTAGAGGGTTAAAGGCATATCAAGGCCAGATTGGAGTTCGCCAATACCCACTTGAACTGCCACTATTCAAATGGCGTAATATCCTTTGGACAAATGACTCCAAACTGGTTTTATTTGGTGGAATAGGACAAGACAATATGTCCGTCGACCTCCAAATAGATAGTATCCCCCAAACCATACGCTGAAGACAGTAAAACACGGTGGCCTAAAAATCATGGTATGGGTATACTTTTCATACAACGTTGTAGGTCCCGTATATATGATCGGTGGGATCAAAGACCATTATGTTTATGTCGAAATATTAAAAACTGTCTTGCAGCCGTATCCTGAGGAAAATATGTCATTAATTTGGACATTTCAGCAGTACAGTGACCCTAATCATACCATCAAGGTGGCCAAGGAGTGGGTTCTTAATGAAAAAGTGGATGCAATGCCATGGCGTGCACAGTCCCCGGATATAAATCCGATCGAAAACTTATGGGGGACATCAAGGGCTACGTATTATAGAAGTTTCCGACTTCTAAGCCGCAGCTTTGACAATTTGTGCAGGAGGAATGCGGCCATATTCCCCTTAAGCTTTGCTAAGGCTTGGTGGACTCCATGCCACCCAGGTATGAGGCTGTAATAGCTTCTAAAGGCTACTTAACAAAATATTAGATCATAGTCAATTAGTATTTCAGAAGAAATAGGTTTCATATACAATTTTTTTAAATTTACGAAGAATTTTAGTTTTTGACTGCTATTTCAATGAACAGCGTAATATAGACCTTTTTTTGTTGTTTTTAGCTATATCTTCTAAAAGGTTTATGTTACCTAAATTAAATGATTGTGGTATTGTTAATAATTAAATACACTAAGCCCTTATGAAAAAAAATTTTATGAAAATAGTGTTTGTAACAGTATTTTCCAATCTTAAACGTGCAGGTCGTGGGGCACTGTTATTTCAGTGAACACAGCTGTATATATAACTATTATTATAAGTAAACATACGCTAGTAATAAGGAAAAAGACGCAAAAAATTTAAATATAACAAAGGCGCAGGAAATCGAAAGAGGAAACGTCTGGCCATCTGGCAACGCCGCGCAGGGCAGAGGCTCCAGCCCAGAACAGATGATAGCCATGAAATAGATTCCAGCAATCTGGTAACCCTCTAACTGGTCAAGAATCGATAATCTCATAGGCTATCGAACAGGAGGAAAACATCTGATCATGGCCTATACATATAAGTCGAAACGCAGATCATAGTCGGACTATGGGTACATTAGAAAAAAATACACAGGCCTGTTCTAGTTTCCACTGGGAAGTGAATTTGATAACATTTGCGGATTTCCCTTGAACATAAGCGAATTTCCCTTGGTGATTTAAGGAAATTTTGTTAAATTTCCAAATAATTTCAGCTGGCCGCTCTCAACAAAAGGGTTTGCTTAGTCTAAGATTTGCTAATAAGGGGCTAATCAAATTTTGGCCCGCTGTAGTCTCCAACTCATAGATAGTAATGAAGCACTAATTTACCGTACAGTACAGTTTGCAGAGGTTGGAAAAAATATTGCCTTCGCATTACATATATTTCAGTTTGTAGATTGAATTGACTGTAGATTGTTTGTAGATTGAATTGATTGGCTGAAATAGGCCTTTTTTGTGCTTCAAGATCAGGATAACCCCTTAACAAAAACACTTTTTCATATACTTTAAACTAATAGCCGATCTTTTAATTCTAAAACAACATAAAAAGTAACTATTTGAAATTAATCTTAAATATATGCCCTTTTTTTTGGAACGCTGACAACCCTTAAATGGTCCCTTTCAAATACGATTTAGGGCGGCGAATTTGCAATAATGTTGAAGGTTAGAATCGAACGAATTTTAAGATGCAATCACAAATTAATAATTTAAAAATCAAGTATGTTAGCTTTAGGTGATTCAGTTATGCAATAATGTTTCTAAAACCTCAAAGAATGAAATACAATGATCATTTGCCATTTACATGATAGCATTGTATTTTAAAATATTTAATTTCTGGTTCTGTAGATCTGAATTCGCCAGCCAAGTGGCAGTCGGAAAGTTTAAGAGCGGTTTCGCTGGGACGTTAACAGATTTGGCGGAAGTGGAAACTAGAACAGGCCAGCACTTTATTTCTACTCATGCGTTCTTCGAGTGATGTTAGAAAGTAAAAGTCAAAACGTAATGCCTGTGTTTTAGAAGTGTTTATCAAAACAAAACAAGCCCTCTTTATGATGCTTTTTACCAAAATTAAAAAAAATCGAATTTTCTCGAATTCGCGTTTAAGGGGGGATATACATGTAAACCAAAATTTTTTTGGCAAATTTTTTTTGTGGTTAAAAAAATAGTTTATTACTTAAAGAATATACTGTGTAAGTTTGATTATAGAATTCCAACTTTAAGTGCCTCAAATCAAGTATGCACCCAAGATTTACAAGTGTTAACGTGGACACATCAAAAACTTTAATCGTCTTTTTCTCAGCTTCTAATTTTGGCATTTCTACCTATGCTATGGACACGCGATTCACAAAAAACTACGTAACATATCGGAGTGAATCAAAAATTATTATGATCAGCATGAAATTATCTTCTATTTGAACCTAAATGGTTGTTATAAAACTGAGTATTACTATTTTTTAAGAGGGTGGGAAGTGAAAACTGATCACCTGAAAATGACATTTTTTTTTTCAAATCAAAATTTAATTTTTTTGTCTTGATTTCTTTTTGGTTTTTTAGGTTCAAATAGAAGATAAAGGTGTAATGAATACAAAAAAATTTAGTTTACGGATTTCGGAGAGGAATTACGAGCTCTATCGTGTCCATAGCACAGCAACTCAAAGCTCGAGGCGCTACGGAATATGTTCCATAAATCCGCCATTTTGTAAAATATTGTTTATAACTAATTTTTTTTTATCATCTCTGATTCTACTTTTAATTATATCCAAAGTTTCACGACGATTGCTTGACTATTTCTTATAAAAAAATTTTTACATGTAAGCGTATATCCCCCCTTAAATATTATGAAATTTGTTTTAGATCAATTGGAGACATTCTTAATGCAACTCTGATGAATTTTTTACCCATATGAGTGTTTCTATTTAAAGATAGAACGATCGGTAATTATATACAATTGTTTTAAATTTGATAAAAAAAAATTAATGTTTTATAGAGCTCTGTGTTAGTTTTTCTTTTCATTTGGCAATAATGGATCGATTCTTTAAGTCCAATTACAACTACAAGAGTATGCAACCTTAAATTTACTCCAAATCGAAATTCAAGAATTTTGGTTTTTCTATGGCTTTTAAATTTGTCAACGCCGAAGAAGCCGTGCGAAATAAGACTTAACCTACGTGGAACAGATGTTGTCAATCTGGGAGCTCTAGCTCTTAGTCTCTGAAATCTGTGGTCTCATACAGACGGACGAACCAACAAACGGACAGGCGCACATGGTTTATTCGAGATTTGGAATATTATGGATCTCACTGAACTTCACCAGTTGATCTTGTTATTTAATATATTTAATTTCGAGGTGAGATGGTTAAAGCAGTCATGTATAAGTTTTGGTTAACAACTTTAAATTACAAATACTCTTACCTGTGATGGTATGGGTAATTCCGAGCAACAAATTTTTTTTATTGCAGAGTATCTATCATCTCTACTATTATGGCAAATACAGACGACTATTTGTGAATTCAAATCTATATTTCGGCGTAGTGCTTGAATATAAGCATCGATTCGATCATGGTCTAATGAAATCATTGTTGGTTTAGAAACGTTTATCCCGAGTGACTTGGAGCATTGCTTTATATTATCAAGTAAGTTATTTGCAGCCCTTAGATCATTTTTCAAATGTATTAATATCCATTTATTTATGTGAACAACTTGTAGCATTTCATTATTCACAACATATTTTGAGAACTCTGCGTTTTTTCCTGCAGGCACCGTCTGTTTGGAAAAATATATTAGCTCTGGGTCCAATTGTCGTCCTTTTAGACTGTTGTAATTTTTAGTAAGTGAAAGACCCCAACCGTTGAGGATTTCTTTTGCTGCAGGGGTTTTAGATACATTGTCGTGGAATTTATCGAGGGCCATTTGACGTTGATTTGGCGAAACTCTTGTAAATGTAGCAATTTCACGCATAAGTTTATTGTCTGACCGCATGTCATCACGAAGTCCAGTAAGATAACAAAGTTCAGGAATTAAACCGAATTGTATATTTTCATTGTCGTTAGTGTTTACCCTTGACTTTTTGATGCTTAGAAGCAGTGGTTGCTTAACGTCCTTAATGGTAATATTGTGATATTTTTTATAATAATCTAAATAACTTGTTTCTCCAGATTTAGTTTGAAAACTGGCCATCGGAGTTTGGTCAAAACAAATCTCATTTATCTTATAAGTACGATTGTTGTACCTTGTTAAAACTATATTCCCAATTAAGGTCTTTCTAGCACATTCTTGGAAGTGGTCTACGTTTTGCTGGTATATATCTACAAGCATATCCAAAACAGTTTTTTGACAAAGGATTCGATGAGAAACGTCACAGCAGAGCATTAGACCGCCTTCGTATTCATCAACAGCTGTAACGTAACCTGGCCAAACCTCCAGTTTTGCTAGAGGAATAATTTTTGGACGTGAAGGGTCAAACTGTTTCCGGTTAAACCTTACATAATTTAATGTCTTCATAACTCGGTCAAACAATATATTATATAAGTGTACGCAATTCTTCAAGTCTTCTTTTTTTTTAAATAAAATTCTGATCTCTACATCCTCACATTCAGTTTTTGAAACGTAAACTGTCATTTGATTTTCCAATAAAATAGGCAAATATAATGTCGTGCCATCAAATGTTTTGCATCCTCCAAGTTTTTCTTTATGTTCGTTTAAATATTTCATTCTTAAGTGAAGCGAATCTACGTTGGGGAAAAAGCGCACTTCATATTGGAAAACTCCTTTAGTTTTATCTGTAGTTATCTCTAAGTAATTGCAAGATAAATTAATTGTGGAACCTAGAAAGATAAATATTTGTTTAAATGTATTTGATTCAAAAATAAACATAATGTTCTGGAATCTGAAATCTAACCGTACTGATGGCAACTTTAAATGTCAATCTTTTTATTTATATTATGTAAAGAAAATTAAATTTTCATATATGGTATAATTAGCTAAATTTATCAAACACCGGGGGTTAAAGCAGCACTTCGTACAATAGACCAGAAATAACATAAATATTAAATAAATAGTTTAAATTATGATCCAAACTTTTCTATAACAGGTATCACCGTGTAATCGGCATTGTGAATAAAGTTATTAAATAACATTTTTTTTCTATAGTACAGTACTTTAGCATATACATTGAAGCTTGGGATCGACAGGAATAACAGCATGAAGCCATTTAAGTTTAATAACTAACGACAGCAACATGGTGGATAGTTATAATACCCGTGTACCCTCACAGTGGCCAAACAAGCGGACGTAAGCTGATGAATTCGAAAATTGTCAGCAAAAGATTTCTATTATATATAACATTCGCATATGTCCGCAGCTTTGATTGCGGTGGACAATTTGGCGTGTTGATATATCCGTATAATTATCGGACAGCTACACATTTTAATATTCGCAATCTTAAAGCTGAAATTCTTGTTTTACAGTACAAGCCCCGACCACTATTAATTCGAACGGCAGCTTTTTTACTCGTATAAAATGTTCAGCAAACGATATTGTCCATAATAACGTATACCACATATAACAAGAAAGGAAGCTAACTTCGGCACGCCGAAGTTTGTATACCCTTGCAGATATTATTTCATTACATTTTACCTATAATTATTATGTTTACAGTTTTCCAGTTACAGATTTGCATTCCCAGCTTTACAGTTACTTAACATTTTTATAAAATTTAAACCGGATTTCTGACATAATTAAAAATTACCATTCTCAAAAATTATTAAAATATATTGAAAAGCAGCAAAGTTCGAATTTGTCCGTTCCGACACATATAGCAGTAGAGCTGGGAAAAAATCGATGTTAACATCGATTAAATCGATTCTTTCTTTTTGGTCGATGCATCGATTCGGTTTAGAAAGAATCGATTAATCGACAAGGTCCATGCTTTGCGCTATCTGTGCGTTTCAGCTAGCTCAACAGAAGCAGAGCGAGTATTTAGTAAGGCTGGATGTAACATAACCGATAGCTCGTTTTTGCCAACAAAAACCAGTGGCTAATCTAGAATTTTGATATTTATTTTCATTTTTATAATTTGAAAATATTTTCTTTTGTTTTTTGTGATCTCATTGAATTGATCCCATTTAATTTAATTTAATTTAACTGGAAATAACCAGTAAATAATTTATTTTGATTTTTTGTTTTTATAATATGAAAATATTTTGTTTCTTATTTTATGAACCTTTATTTTAAATATTTTTATTTAAAATAAGTTACTTTATTTAAAATAAAGGCTTTGAATAATTTTATTTAAAATAAAGATTCATAAAATAAGAAACAAAATATTTTCTTTAAAAAAAATCAAAATCAATTAATCACTGGTTATGGCCAGCAAAATTTATTTGATTTATTAAGAATACATTTTTGGTTTATTGTTTTAGAATGATTATGTAAATAAATTTAAGTTTGGGTTTTTTCTAAATTTATTTGAAGTAAAAAATAAAAAAGTTTTGTTTTCGATTTAATCGATTTAATCGATTTTATTTTCACAAAAATCGAAAAAAATCGATTCGCTGAGAATCTAGCTCTATATAGCAGTGAGATTGTATAGATCGGTTCTATGGCAGCTATAAGATGTAGTCGTCCGATTTTCATAAAATTAAAAAAGGAATTCTGAAATAAATAAAACACATTTTTTTCATATTTTTGGGTAGTGGCCGAGCCTTTTGATCCCATTGAAGATTTTACAGATGACCTTAATAGCACAGTTCGGAAGTTCATTGTATAAGTGTCTTGCCACTAACTTATTGCTGAAATGCAAACAATAATACCGAAAGTTGTTTAAAATCAGTGTGGTTTACTGGATACTGATCTAAGTTTACTAGTAAGAAGAAAAAAGTGAAAAATATTTAATACGTTTCAAGCTTGAATGTCTGTAATTATTATTTTGACTAACCCATTTTTTTAATGCACGACTTTGAGGCACTATGTACAGTACATATTAAGTGGAACTTGCCACACCAAGCACGTGCTTATTCGTGGTGTTGGTCGGCGCGAAGAAAAAAAAAAATAAAATAAAATAAAATAAAACTAATCGCCTGAGGTCTGCTGAGGACAACTAAGTACACCAGTTTGTACATTGAAATCTCGTTGTTCATCGCTCATTAACACCTTTTCCCCGTTCGTCCCCCTTTTCTCACAATTCTACAATATTTAGCGGCGTTCGAGTTTCGCCATGGCGATCTCTTTGATATTTGGTACAAAACCAATCGTGAAATATCATGTGTGTCAGAATGGATTTATGAAAAAATAGGCGTTTATCACGTGGATAATGATAAAAAGTAGATATAAATAAATAATTAATTTTGAATCCTTTATAAAACAATACCTTAAAAAATTTAATTATATGGTAGAACGTTTTGAGTCAAAGCACGATGCATTTTTGTCGTCTGAAATATCATTTACATTAAATATTTGTAAGACACCACAACGACCTTGACGCCCAACCTTATCTTATACAAATGCAGGGTCCAGATTGAAAAGAAAATTGGCATCTGAGCTTGCAAATGAAAAAGAAAACAACACAAATCTTCTTGTTCATGCTGCAGCAGCTTCAGCTAAGAGAGAAAATAATACGAATGTGGTGTTTGTCCCTAAAGAAACGATTACAACACATGAAAACACAACGGAATTGAGAAAGCAATTTGAAATGCTAAAACCGACTTCACTTACACCAAATGAAGCTTTAGCCTACATCCTGGAATATTCATTGACTAAGCAGCAGTATGTCAACACTAGGGCTTTGAATATAAGTCATAACACTAACATTTATCCGAGTAACAACCTAGTTATAGAAGCTAAAACTCAATGTCGGCCAATAGGATTTGATGTTACAGAAACTACTGCTCAAGTTTCTTTTCAAAACCTCCTAAATCACACTGCACAGCGATTAATTAAAATGGAATCCGATGTTTTTAAACAATTTCCGGAGAGTTGTAAACTAAAATTAATTTGCAGTTATGGTTTTGATGGGTCAACTGGCCAAAGTTCATACAAACAGAAGTTTGAAATAAATACTCCAAACGCGCAGATTTCAGATCAATCATTGTTTGTAACTTCTGTTATCCCCATAAAAATGATTGACTCATTTCAGCGAAACATATGGGTTAAGGGTCCATTCTGGTTAGCATTTTTTTATAGTTATAAGTGTCTAAGATATCATACCAAAACGGCAAATCGAAATACGTAATAGTTTAAAAGTTATGAGCCTCCGAGTCGGCCAACTTATAGGAGGTACAAAGCAAACATAAAACTTTAAACGCGTTTTCTGGAAAACTACGTTTTTCGAGCTGGCGACCGTCCTATCTCAGTGAATTTTTAACGAATCTTAATGTTTTTTTTTTTTAATGCGCGTAATGAAGCTCTCCATGGATTGGCTCTCCATCCATTGGATTTTTTATTAACAAAAAAGTGAAGCAAATTTTCAGAAAAACGAAAAAAAAAATTTAAGACGCCGCCATTTTTTTATTTTTTATTTAATTTTTATAATTGTAGTCTATTCCAAACTACATTAATACTAAACAAGAACATCTTTGAATTTTTTGTTACAGTCGATTTTTACGTCCTGCAGGACGGTCGCCAGAGGGGTACCTTTTTTTTGCAGAGGCTTACGTCGTCTTTTGACCTGCTTCAGGACATGCTCTAAAAATTTTGAAAATTTGTGCTAAATCATCTCTAAACTATGAGAAATAAACATGGAAAGTTTGAACTTTCTATGTCTTTTTCTTTGTCAAAAAAAAAAAAAAAAAAAAAAAAAAAATTATTTTTTGGCCCAACTAACCAGAATGGACCCTTAACCGAACACCGCAGTCCATTCGATTTTGCAGGCCCCTAAAAATTCAATTTGTAAAAGAAACTACTGATCACATTATTATGAAAAAAAAATCAGTTGGACTATCAAATAAATAATTTAAAAAAGGTTTTATTACAAAATAGATGACACTGTACTACAGTGACTGTAGACATAGCAGTAAAGTTTGAAATGCATATGACCCTTATTGACGGAAAAGTACAAAACGTACTAACTGGTACTAAATCAACTCAATGTTGTCCCATCTGTGGTGTCACCCCAACACCAAAGATTTTAATTCAAAAACTTTTACCCCTAAGGTAGAAGCTTTACAATTTGGAGTGAGTCCACTACATGCGTGGATTCGGTTTTTAGAATTTGTCCTGAACATATCATACAGAATAAAAATACAAAAAATGCATGTAACTGGTGATGATAAAATTAAAATGGGTGCACGCAAAAAATATATTCAAGAAAAGATATGGGATGAAATGGGTCTACGAATAAGCCGGACAAAACAGAACGGCAGCGGCAACAGCTTTTTCAAAAAGTAAAGAACTTTTATCTATAACCTGCTTTGACGAACAAATTTTAAATAATTTTTACATTATATTTATTAATAGCAATATCCTGTAACCATTATGTAAGATCTGAAAAATTTCGGACTTTTTGTGAAAAAACGTTTTACTTATATATGAGTAAATACCCGTGGTACCCAATGTCACCAACTATTCACAAAGTATTAGTCCATGGGTTTCAAATAAATAACTCAACTTTTGTTCCACTTAATTGCTTGGGCGAAAATGCCTCAGAAGCACGTAATAAAAATTTACAAAAAAGACCCACTTTCACACGCAAGAAAAAATAGTCGAATCAATACTATGACTGACCTTTTCCACAGGGCTATAGATTCATCGGATCCATTACTTTCAAGTGTTTGTTTAAGGGGGGTAAAATGCGGTGCAAAAATGCCCACTTTTTAATAAAATGTTGTGG